AGAATATTTCCCAAATGCATCTATAGGTTCACAGAGCACAGAGAAATATTTCCCCATGGATTGCAGAAGCCTCCCAACGAGTCCCTCACTCTCAATACGTAATGGAAACAAGCTAGAGATCTCAGGGACACGAAGAGGTAACCTAAGCGTCCAAATCATGCCCCTAAATTAACAAATAAATGAACTTTAACTAATAAGGAATGAATTAATAAGTATCCCTCTCCCTCTTCCTCCATCGCCCTTACTTCTTAAAGAGATGACCCGTTGTCGAGGAACCGCACTTCGGGACGGCGGAGAAGAAGACGAGGTTCGAGTTGGGCGGCGTCGTGTTTCGGCTGGACGGCTGGACCTCAAGGGCGTACGCCGGAGACTGTAGCACCTCTTCGTCCCCGCCCTCCCCGGTGACCTTCAAGTAGGCCTCCTTGACGAGGGCCTTGATCATCTTCTCCTCGTAGTCGCGACTCGGAGCTCCGGACACCTTCCGTCTCGAGGCGACTTCCCCCGGCGGTTCGAGGATACCAGAGCCTTCTCCTTCGCCTCCTTCCTTTCCTTCTGCTGAATTGGCTTCCTGCTGGGGGATTCCTGACTGGTTTCTCTCCGGTCGCTCTTCGCTCTCCGCGCTGCTCACTCCGATCTGTCTCTCGTCTGTGTCTGCGCGTTCCTCTAGGTTCATGTGCTGGCTTTGGTCTTCCCCAACTGACAGACAGATAGGTTGATGGATATTAATCCGTAGATACGTGTTTTTGGATATCTGCCCATTCCATAAGCATTAGGGTAAAGAAAAAAAAATGAAAGAAAGAAAGAAAGAAAATATATACTATATGTGTACGTGTGTATGAACTATATTCTGGTAACGTGTAATTCTTTGGAAAAAATATCCTATCCATTTAAACACCTGGTAGCCACATTTATCATAACCTTGTATGTACTGTACTTGTAACCTTGTATGTATTGTACTTGCTTGTATGAATGCATTTGTTATTCAAGTAAACTAAAATAAATTATAACTTATTCCACGGTGAATTTTGGGTGCCTTTCATGTGTCACAAATACAGCATATATAAACGCATATTCTCTGCCTCCTTCTTTCTGCTCTCTTTTGACCGTCAAATACCTTACAAGCCGATCAGACCTGATGTCTTCACGGAATTTTATTTGAGGCCTTAGTTTTCTCCACTGTACAAAAGGCACTGTAGTCACGGAGAAAAGTCGAGTATCTTGAATAAATCTTCGAAGACCACTTAACCTGTTTATAACAAGGATTACATTTTTTAGGTGTTCGAGACGCAATACGAAACAGGTTCGACAAGAAGAGCGTGAATGGCGTTGCTGACTTGCACATTCATAGGCGTGCAGCCTGCATTAAAATTGATACAGGTGCAAGCCTGTTCATCTTATCAACTAAATAAAAGTAATAATAAATACAAAAATATATATAGACCTTGTCTATACTTTAGCAAACAAACTCAAAGATCGTCGGTTTCAATACACTGTTAAGGCCAATATTTCCGATAATTTCTGTCACTTGTCTGTTTCACTGGGAAAGAATATTAACTCATCGGAAGAGATATATACTAAACAATTTGCTAAACAGTGTGGAGTATATGACGAGATGTAAAAACAAGACAAACAAGGATGTGTGTAGGTGTTCAAATAAGCTGTGTCTGTCTATCTGTCTGTCTGTTTGCCTTTGTCTGTCAATCTGTCTGTCTGTTTGCCTTTGTCTGTCAATCTGTCTGTCTGTCTGTGACATGCAACCTGATAGACAGATCGGTAGACTGAGAGATAAATAGGCAGGTAGATAACACTGAGAAATAAACACACCCACACACACACTTATATATATATATATATATATATATATATATATATATATATATATATATATATATATATATATAGAGAGAGAGAGAGAGAGAGAGAGAGAGAGAGAGAGAGAGAGAAAGAGAGAGAAAGAGAGAGAAAGAGAGAGAAAGAGAGAGAAAGAGAGAGAAAGAGAGAAAAAAGAAAGAGAGTGAGAGAGAGAGAGAAAGAAAGGCAAGACGAAACCCCAAAATTAAAGTAAAAATACTGAAACCAAACGCGAATAAGAAAAACAAAGAAACAAAGCAAGATAAAAAACAAACAAACCAATAAACAAAACAAAATGGCACTGTTCCTTACTTATTTCCGCGACCTGAGAACCGACGAAGATATAAGCGAAGATCCCACAGATGAGGAACAAAACCCCGACGTTTCTTCGACACATACTGAAGAACCTCATGATTCTTTTATCTAGAGAGAAATGAAAGAAATAAAAGAAAGAGAGAAAGAAAACAGTTCAAAATCCCCTTCGATTAGTTGCGGTCACAGCCAAATTCACATTATTTTCGTTGAGCATTTAGAGTAGAAACCTTTCTTTTTTTTTCTTGTTTTTATTTCTTCCTTTTTTTTTTTTCTTTTGTTTTTCTTTCTTCCTTTTTCTTTTCTTTTCTTTTTCTTTCTTCCCTTTTCTTTTCTTTTTATTTCTTCCCTTTTCTTTTCCTTTTCTTCCTTTTTCTTTTCTTTTCTCTTTTTTCCTCCACCCCCCAGTTTGGTCCAGAAGCCCCAGGGGAGAGACGGCGAGGAGCAGCGGAGTGGAGGGCGTGAGCCAGTTGACGGGCGCGGTCTGTCTGCCGGCGGGGTGGAGCGAGACCGTGTTGCTAAATGCATTCGGAGCTTCATTTAGTTAATTGGGAAAATGATAATTACCAGGAACTTAAATTACTCAACGCCTTATTTATTTTTTATATTATTTTTGTTTTACTATTATTATTGTAATTATTACTCTTGCACGTGTGTGGAACATTCAGATACATTTACAATGCTATATGTATATGTATATGTATATACAAATAAATACCCTAAGGTTATATATAAATATACATGTATAAATCTGTATACATATATATGTATATATATATATATATATATATATATATATATATATATATATATATATACATATAAATATATCATGTATACTTATATATATATATGTATACATACAGACACACACACCCACAAACACACATACACACACACACACTCACACGCACAAATATATATATATATATATATATATATATATATATATATATATATATATATATATATATATATATAGTCATACATGCGTTCGTATGCGTGGGTGTGAGTGTGTACATACAAGCATGTATATAATGTGTGCGAATGTGTTCATATGTATACTTGCTTGTGTGAAAGCAAATCCCTAATGTATATTCATGAATATCTATGTATACCTTTTTTTTCCTACCCAATCGACATTCACCTTATCGGTATGAAATTGAATAACTAACGAGAACTCTTTTTTTTTTGCAGTGTTAATGAATGCGAAATATATTCAAAATACGTTCGAAGGCGAGATACTAAGCAGAGAAGTAATCTAAAGCGAAATGAGGATGATTAGCGATATGCCATCTATGTAAAAGGAGTCTTGAATTAACTATTTAAGATATCTAAATAGATTTCTGTCTGTTTAGTTCTCGGTCAGTAAATCTAGCTATCTGTCTATCTGTGGATGGATGCATCTATCTATCTATCTATCTAACTATCTGTCTGTCTGTCCCACACACACACACACACACACACACACACACACACACACACACACACACACACACACACACACACACACACACACACACACACACACACACACACACACACACACACACACACACACACACACACACAGAGTTACATAAAATATATATTTTTTTTATCTCGAACATCTCTTGAAATACTATAGTTACTGCTCTAATATTAATTTCATTTTCTTTGAAGGATTACGCTCAGTGAAGGGTAACTAAAGTATACTTGGATGATGACATAGGAGCAATAACTGTTGTGTGAAAGCAAATCCCTAATGTATATTCATGAATATCTATGTATACCTTTTTTTTCCTACCCAATCGACATTCACCTTATCGGTATGAAATTGAATAACTAACGAGAACTCTTTTTTTTTTTGCAGTGTTAATGAATGCGAAATATATTCAAAATACGTTCGAAGGCGAGATACTAAGCAGAGAAGTAATCTAAAGCGAAATGAGGATGATTAGCGATATGCCATCTATGTAAAAGGAGTCTTGAATTAACTATTTAAGATATCTAAATAGATTTCTGTCTGTTTAGTTCTCGGTCAGTAAATCTAGCTATCTGTCTATCTGTGGATGGATGCATCTATCTATCTATCTATCTATCTATCTATCTATCTATCTATCTATCTATCTATCTATCTATCTATCTATCTATCTATCTATCTATCTATCTATCTATCTATCTATCTATCTATCTATCTATCTATCTATCTATCTATCTATCTATCTAACTATCTGTCTGTCTGTCCACACACACACACACACACACATTAACAACATCTTTTCCATCTCTTTAATCTAGGATCAAACTCTCTTCTCTATGAACACCAAACGAATATCATTAGTATTTTTGACGCGGTGTTTCATTAGAGCGCATCCTACAGTTTATGCCATTATTAATCTATTATATTATACCCAAATGCTAATGATATTCAAGCCCTATGATAATGAGTCCAATAATCTACGAAATCGTGAAATTGTTGAAAAAAAAAAAAATCGGATAGTCACCAGCATTTCATAAAGTGTTGATGTTCTTTCGCCGGTCTCATATGGTGTGTTCGTGCTGGTGTGTTATTACTGCTGTGTTGCAAGTATTGGCAGCGATAGCAGTACGGAAGCGGCGCCAAGAAGACCGGTGTACGTACAATGCCCAAATCTCTAGCAAAATTTAGTATTCTCCGTAATAATAACACATTCTATTGTGGGGAACATTCGGGTACCACCATACCTTCCACGGTGTATTAGTTACTGTAAATTGAATATTGTGCTTTTGAGGGACAGATTCCCAAGCGGTAAAAGTCCCGCTTTGCAAAGTTAACAAGTCTGGGCTCCTGTGTGTGTGTGTGTACACACACATCA